GTAGAAAAGCATTTCACAAAGTCCAACAGTCAATCATGATAAAAATCATATAGAAAACTGGAATGGATAGTCTTGATCTCAGTTTGATAACAGTCATCTATGACAACAGCTATCATACTCAATGTTCAAAAACTGAAAGCTCTCACTCTAACATCAGGACTAAAACAAGGATGTCCAGTATCACCACTTTCATTCAACATAGTTCTAGAAACATGAGCCAGCACAATTAGACAAGAGAAAGAAATCAAAGGAATAAGGATAGAAAAGGAAGAATTCAATTATTATTATTTGTGGGTAACATAATGCTCTACACAGAAGACCCCACCAAAAGACTCCTAGCTTTAATAACCAAATTCAGTCACCTAGCTGGAAACAAAGTCAGCACTCAAAAATCAATAGCATTTCTGTAAACCAATAACAAACTGAATGAGAGAGAAATTAGAGAAATAACACCTTTCACAATAGCATTGAAAAAAATGAAATAATTAAGAATCCATCTAACAAAGGAAGCAAAAGATCTTTACATTGAAAACAACAGACCTCTGAAAAAGAATATCAGAAAATGGAATAACATTTGGGTAGGAATAACAAACATATTGAAAATGACCATACTCCCAAAATTGTAAAACAAATTTAATGCAATCCCAATCAAAATAATAATAGCATACCTCACACAAATACTTCACTAAATACCATACCTCAATAAAATTAATTTGGAACTAGAGCAAACCTAGACTTGCAATAGTAATTCTGAGCAACAAATGCAAGAAAGGGGCATCACAAGCCCTGACTTGAAATTATACTACAAAGCCACAGTGATAAAAACAGCATGGTACTGGCAAAAAACAGACCTGAGGATCAATAGAGCAGATTAGAAGATGTAGAAACAACTCCAAACATACTCAGCCATCTTTTCTCCAACAAAGGGGCCAAACACTTTCACTGGAAGAAAGATAGCCTCTTTAATAAGTGGTACTAGGAAAACTAGCTTTCTACATCCCAAAGACTAAAACTAAACCCATGTCTCTCACCATGCACTAAACTAAAACAGAAATGGATCAAGTATCTGAATATTAAAATAGACACTAAATCTTCTGGAAAAGAAAATAAGTAGAACTCTGGAAGATACCGTTGTAGGCAAAACTTCAGTCACACAAGAAATACCACAAAGAATCAACAACTGGGACTTCATCTTATTAAAAAGCTTTTGCACAGCAAGAGAAACCACCCATCAAGTGAAGAGACAACCCACATAGTGAGAAAAAAATTTTCCAGTGTTCCTCACAGGACTAATGTCTAAAATATATAAAGAACTCAAAAAAAATCAGACCCCAAAACTTAAAGACCCAGTCCGAAAATGGGAATCTGAAATGAATAGACATTTCTCAAATTAAGAAGTAGAAACAGCGAACAAATACATGAAAAAAATGTTCAACATCACTGGTCATTTGAGAGATGCAAATGAAAACAATGCTGAGATTCCACCTCACTCCAAAAAGAATGGTTGCTATCAAGAAATCAACCAATAACTAATATTGCCCAGGCTATGGGGAAAAACGAACTCTTCTCCACTGTTGATGGAAATGTAGACTGGTGCAACCACTGTGGAAATCAGTGTAGAGATTCCTCAAAGAGCTGAGTAGAGGTTCCATTTGACCCAGCTATTCCCCTTCCCAGATGAATTAAAAGCATCATACAACAGTGATATATACACACCCATGTTTATAGCAGCACAGTTTTTAACAGTTAAATCTTGAGACAACCCATCAACTGATGAATGGATAAAGAAGATGTGCTTTTTTTATACAGTGGAGTGCTACTCTGCCCTAAAGAAGTGTAAGCTTGAGAGATTTCTAGGTAAATGGATGCACCTTGACACCATACTGTTAGATGAAATAAATTGGACACATATGTGTAAATATCACATTTTTTTCCTCTGGTGAGAAACCGAAAGTGTTAATAAGGACCAAAATATGTAATATATATTGTGAAATAAGAAGAAAATGTACATGTGGGAAAGGGAACTAGGTAGAGGTTAGGGGAAAGGAAGGAAGGGAAATGAAAAAAGAAACAAAAAAGGAAAATAATGGAAACAAAGCTTTTATAAATGAGGGGAAGAAGGGTTGAAGGGAGGGTAGTGGAATGGAAAAAAAATCCAGATATATCATGTACAGGTACAAATTCCCTATGATGAATGTGATCATTATGTAAGGGAAATATGTACTATTAAAAATTTTTAATGTACCTACAATAAAATAAAATAAATCTTAGGAAAACTGAGTTATTTCACTTATATTTTACCTTAAGGTATAATGTTACACAGGGGTGAATTGTTGGGGATGTATAAAACTGGATTTGATATTCCCTCCTGACTATTACACTGTAGTATGCAAACATCACACACCGATGTCTGAAAGTCAGTGATGAGCGTGATATTCTTAATGGAACAAAAATACCCTTTCTCAGAAGACTGAATGAGACCGAGGGAGTGTGCAGTGCTTCACACAGTCACATGGAGTCCATTCTGCCTCTTTGTGCATCTAACATCTTGACCCTGCCATCCACTTTTACAAAGCTTTTCTTACACGAGGATCCCGTCTCCATCTTGGGAACTATTCATTTCAATTTGCCCTCAAGATTTTTCTAACTTTTCTTATTTTTCCATCTTTTTCTTTACTCTTTTGCTTTATGCCCCTGCTGTATCTTGTGTAAACTTCCATGCACTGTGGCCTTTGTTATTAAACAGGCAGAAGATCAAGGGACAGATTTGAGCATTATGTGAGCTCTGAGAGGGTCAAAGAAAGCTCAGTATAGCCCAGTTCTCACTCTCATGCTCCCGTCATGAGCAGACTCACGGCCACACTACTGGAGACCACATTCTCGACCTTCTTTCCACGGGGCCATGGTGCGCCACGCTCTTGCTCTCCATTAGCGAGTGTTACAGGGCACATGATGACCTCACGTGCGGGCAGCCGGGACATGCATGGCTCTGACCCAGCTGCTCCAGCATCTGTGTCCCAACTAGGCTGGTCTCAGGATTCACAAGCAGCTCACATCTCATGGGTGTGTTCTCTCATCCCCAAACAGAATTGGCCTAAGAAAAGCCCTTAAGTAAAACTTCCCAGTTTGAGTTGGAAAGAGTTTTTAGGGAAGTAGAGAGTGGCTGAAGGTTACCACTACTAAATTTGAGATGGTGAAAAGTATATATCCCAGGTTCAGATATAGATGATATAGACAGATAGACATGGATACAGATATAGATGATACAGATGTAGATATATTGATATAGACATAGACACAGATCCATAGATATATAGATATATAGATGGGTATACAGACAGACAACTGCTCATTGTTTCACTAACAAGTATTGGGGTAAAAACTATTAATTATTTTAACTTTTGAAATTCATTTTTTATTTTATAAAAAAATGAAAATTTCGTAACAAAATGAGAATAAAAATAGTTAATAGACTCTGTATCCTCATTTTCAGAGTTGTTACTCAAAGTACAAGACATCCACAAAAGTTGCTCTCTAACAACAAAAAAACAGATATTAGCACAAAATTTCCTTTCAGTGAACTAAGAGAAACTAGTAGCAGAAATGAAACAAAATATCATATATACTGAAATGATTTTGAAACAACCAAATAGGTAATTTGGGGAACTTCTGAACCTCCACCTCATTTGCATATATATCAACTTTGAGTTTCTCATAGAAGCCATGAGTCATTTAAACTTGTGTATCCCACTATGTCTAACATTTATGTTCTCAAGTTGTATCCACTTACAAATGCCTCATTTATCTTTATGCTATAGTAGTATTCCATTGTTTGTAAACACCACATTTTCCTTATCCATTCCTCTGTTGATGTACATATGTGCTGTTTCATATTTAGCTATTATAAACATAGGTATGGATATATCCCTGTAAAATGATGACTCAACTCTTTTTGGAAAATACATAGAAGATGGATAGCTAAGTCAAATGGAATCTCTATTTTTAGTTTTGTGAGAAATCTCCACATCTTTTTCTAACTTTTTAACTACTTTTTTGCTCCATTAATATTCTTAAAAATACAGATGAGCTGACTGTTTTGAATCTCAGCTTTGCAGATATTTAAAGCTTCAACCTTAGTTTCTCAATCTGTAATGTATGCATACGGACAAAGTTACTGTGAGTAGAGTGATACGAATGAAATTCTTAGCACACGTGAACAAAGTGCATGCCCCAAATGCTGATTTGCTGTGCACTTGTGCTGAATTAGGTTCCAGAGCATGGTCACAAAACTATAAAAGTCTCATCCATTAGAAACAGAGGCTTGCTGAAGCAGAAGCCTATGTAGCTCATGCAGAGTGATGTCAGCATAGGGTTAAGGCACCACCCTAAGAGCAATCACCCTGTCCACCAGAATGGGACAGCAAGTGGTAGAAAAAATGTGGTGTGAATCTCGGTTACATCTCTCAAGGGAAACGGGCTGGGAGATAAGGCTTGTTTGGTGCTAACCATTTCGTTAAGGCAGCTTACGAGTAAGTAATCTGCAAATTCTCAAAAAGTGGCTGGGAAGTCCTGGTTCTTTTAAAGAACACAGTGATAATCTTTTGTTTGTAATCTGTGAACTAGCATGTACATTACATTAATGTACATTAATGTACATTACATCACATGTGCATTAGAGACAAAATAATCCTTCCCTTCCAAATATAAATGTACACCAAAGGGTTCATGGTGTTCCTGTGACCTATTTGCAGAAGTTTAGCATTTTCATTCATTTGGTTAAAACCTGCCATAGATAATAATTATGCCAAGGTTTGAAAATCATTCAAACACTCAAAATGAATTTTAAATCTTTAAATGGCTTAGAGCAAGTTTTTATTTCTCAAAGGGTTTCTACTCATGGAAAATTTGCTTAGATTATGTTCTTCTGTCATATTCTCAGTAAATGTTAAATCAATGCAAAATGGGTGGATATATATTGCTAAAAATAACCTCTTTCACAGGAAGAAGAACTAAGGAAGAGTGGGGAAGCTAAATATGCCCACTTGAGTGATGAACTTCACGTACTGATTGAAGTGTTTGCGCCACCTGGGGAAGCCTATTCACGCATGAGTCATGCATTGGAGGAGATTAAAAAGTTCCTGGTTCCTGTAAGTGTTTTCCACTTCTTACAGAGGTGTTTCTCATCAGTTTTGATTTTAAAATATGCCTTTGATCCTCACTGCCATTTTAGTTGGAAACACATATTTCAAACTAATTATATACCTATAAGATTGATACTAAGCTTCAATGAATAGCATACAAAAATCACTTAGCACAGTACATGCCATGTCGTCATACACTACTGATTTGACACATGTACATATATATACTATATTTCTGCTTTGTGTCTTAATCACCTGATATGTATTTTTGGTAATTAACAGTTAAGATAGAAAACACTTGCAAGTATAGTAGAGATGGAACGAGATTAGATATATAATTTATCTGTGGTAAGGCAATTATATCATTTTAAATGATTCAGTGTATTTTTTTGATTACTTAAATTCTTTTATTGGTACATTTTAGGTATATAGCACATTTACATTTCTCATTGGGAACTTGTACCTTTACATGATGCATCTTGGTTCTTATTTTGTATTTTTTATGATAGTATGCCTACTGCTGACTCATTGTAAGATATAGTATAAAATAATCAAAACTAATAAAGCCAGGCATTTGTCAACTCCAAGCAAAGTTAGAAAAATAAACTCATTGCACCTTGTAAGAAAAATAATGTTCATTTAATAAGACAGCAAATTCAGAGTTGCAAATGCAGTAGAATCCATAGATTTTCTAAGAAATAGATGAAGGTCAAATGAGTGAAGTTCCCTAAGTGTTCACAATTTAGCATTCTAGGAAGCAGTCATTCCAATAGGAATCCTGGCTTTGGGTTTAGAGCTGGGAATAAAATAATGAGAAGTCCTAAGTTAAGTTTTCTGGGTGTCTGGGCAGAAGTGCTCAGCAGAGAAAGTGAGTGGCTAAGATTAATCTATAAAATGAAGAAATTGGATATTTAAAATAAGCAATAAACTCCCAGGCAACAGGTAAGATTGACTGGCAGTGATTTTTAGAAGAGGTAAAAAAAGGAAAATAAGGGGCCAGGGATTTAGCCCACTGGTTCCGCAGCCTGCCCCGCAAGCCCAAAGACCCGAGTTCGATCCCTGGTACCAAGAAAAAAAAAAGAAAATCAGAGAATTTCCAGAATGTAAAAACATCAAGATCTAGCCACAGTATTTATATGCCCAGTTTAAAATTTAATTTTTGTCAAGAGGTTATAAAATAATCCCTTACCAATCTAAGTATTCTTAACTACTCATAGAATTTTTGCACAAGCTATTATCTGATGCTCATCTGAAAACTTCTCTAATAGATTTCATATTTCTTAAGGATGCAGATAATATTTTCTCTCTTCCTTTTGCCTTCAAACTAAATGCCTAATGCTGTACTGAGTAAGGAGTTTTACTATATTTACTTCAGACCAGACCTTTGATGATACATGCAGGGCAGCATAAAGCTCAGACTACTTAAATTTCTGACTCATTTCCTGACTGTAGTGAAGTCATTTAAATTCTCAGAGCTTCAACATTTTCATCTTTAAAATGAAGATAATTATAATTGACTGAATTCTATCACAGTTATTGTGAATATTAAATAGGATAATGCACATAAGACTTAAAACATTACAAAGCACTAAAGGAATTTTTAAAAATCTAATTTATTGTTACAGTAGATGGACCTAGAATGATTTTTGATGCAAAATGTGTAAGACAAGACAATACTTCATTCTAAGTGGCAACAGCATATTTGGCTTTCTCTTCCCCTGAGGTCCATGTGTGTCAGACAGGGTTGGCGGTGTTGCCTTGGTGGACATTGTATCTGCATTATTTTGCCTGGCCTGATATTTGACTGTTGGACTGATGGAATAGCCAACCAAAAGGCAGCAAGACTTCTGCAGAGCAGTTAAATAAAAATCTGGGTCACATCTGGGGAATTGTGCCCCAGATCAAGATACACCCCAGACAGGGTCCCCAGTGAAGTACTGTAACCTCACCTTGGCTTCGGTGACCTTTCCTACCTCTAGAGCACTGTGATTCTGATTTTGCACATCGAACTGATCCCTCATGGGCTCCAGGTATCTGGCTTTCTCCACCCAACACGCCAAGCTCACTATTCACTCGGGGACCTTGAAGAGTCTTCGCCAAGATACTGACACAGCTCTGCCCTGGTCATTCAGGCACCATGTCAAATGTTAGCTCTGCAGGAAATTCTTCCCCACTCATGCAATCTACAATGGCTGCCTCTGTTACTTCCTATCATACAATCCTGTCATATTATTCACTGACTGCCCTATCCAACACATCAATATGTTGTCCCTTTATTCCTGACCTGTCCTCACTTTAATTATCCTATTCATTTTCCTTAGGGAAATATACATCTTTCTGGCAGAGAAACCAACAATAATAAATACATATAAATATATGTAAATGTCATGAGGGCACCGATGTCTGTCTCAATGTTGTGTTTATATAGTTTGCTATCACCAAAAGTCTTTCTGCAGATGATGTTTCCCAACTTGCTTTACTTGCTTCAGCACCAAGCAAAGGATGGTATTTGTCCACCCAGAAGGAACCATGAGGAGCAAAAACTAAAATGCCTGGGGGTTTTTTGCGTCATATAAAAACCACTTGGTTATCCAGGTTCCTTCTGATATAAATATTAAAGTTCACAGAATTCCATTATAGCTGGACATTACTGTCTATAAACATCCCAGGTAAAGTATCGTGATCAATACTGTAGAACAACAGAGAAGTCTGGTGTTGAATAGGACCCTGAAACTCCACTGACATCTTATTTCTTTCCAAAGCGAGTGTTTTTGCAGTTAGTGCACCTTCTTCCTCCTCTAGGTGATGCAGAATTTACCCAGCTTCTTCTATGTCCAGGGCTTGTAATCATCCAAGAGTACCAACTTCAATACCTACAATTCCTTGTGAAATGACCAAATGATTTAGAAGGTTGGAAACCAGCTAAAGTTTCAGCACTTAAATGAATTGTTCAAGACAAGTGATCATTTTCCCATTCAGATTGGAGTCTTGTCCAAACAAATACAGTAGCAGGTCAATGAAACATCATTAATTTGAAGATTGCCAATTTTAAATATATAATATTTCAAACAATAGTGGTATTAAATTTCCCCTTATATTTGTGCTTCTTTATAAAATATTGATTAGGACTGTTAATAAATAGCTCAATGAATAATGACAAAAGGGATATAAAATTGTAAGTTAAAATAAGTGTCAGTAATGTTAGCATACTTCCCTTCCCTTTAGATACATAAAGATGTATAAACATATTGGCAGTATATGTCATACTGTTTTTCTCTTTTATAGTTCAGGACTGGGACTTCTATGTGTGGTTACACAGGTGTGATTTGGTTTTTTGTTTGTTTGTTTGTTTGTTTGGTACCAGGGATCAAACTCAGGACCTTACATTTGAGAGGGAGGCGGCAGCACCACTGAGCTAAATCCCAGCCCCATACATGTGTATTTTGATAGGGCACCTTAGTACCCCAAATACAATTCCCTTTTTCTAACCCAAGCCCACAGGTTTCTTCAAAGTAATCACAGTGCTTTATTTTCTTAAATTCACAGACTCTTATTAAATTGAATTACAAAGTTTGACTAATACTTAATAACTAAAAATTGCAACAATACATTGTCTTATGAATAGAAATTATGAAGTACTCAGCAGAACTTTGCTCACTGAATGTGTACATATGATGAAAAGGGAGATTCCATGCCGGCAGGACATTGGGATGGATTAGATCACAGCTATCAGAGAGATTGTCCTGTTACCTTCTCTACTAACTGTGGAGTTGGCAGTGTAACTCAGTGGTAGATCACTTACCCAGCACACATGAAGTTCCAAGTTTGATATCCAGCACATCCAAAGGAAAAACAGAAAACAAAAGATTCCAATAGCTCTGTTATTGATATAATTGAGATCACAACACTGTTTTATTGAGCCCTATTGGTCTCAACACAGATAATACATAGCATTTTAATATCATCAAAGTTGACAGAACTTGAAAAATTTTGTCATGCCTGGTTTAAGATTCTAATGACCACCACTAGAGATTCATATAATTTAAAGAAAAGGGTATAGATAGATAGATATAGAGACGTTTTGTTTTTATATTTTATGTAAAGCTGTGTGTGTGTGTGTGTGTGTGTGTGTATCCTTTACTAGTTTCATCTGTAAGACTTTTAAGTCAATTCAACACAGGAAAAAATATACATAAGTCCAGGTTCCTTTTTTCTTTCACTATATAGAACATGTGTCTTGTAGGTAGCCATAATTCTTGAAAAGATTTGGTCAGGGCACATTATTTCCCTGTATTAGTTACTTTTCTTGTTGTTGGGACAAAATAGCTGACACCCAAATTTAAAGGAGGAGAGATTTATTTAGCTGACAGTTTGTGAAGGTTTCAGTTCATAGTTGGCTGGCTCTGAGGCAGGGCTGCAAGGCAGAGGGGCATTGCAGAGGAGAAATTGTTCCTGGCAAGAAGAAGGCATCAAGGCAAGCAACAAGCCACAAGTGACAATAGCAGCTTCTTCCTGCCCCTTTTATGTTCCATCTAGGATACTTGGTTTAGGGTGGGTGCCAAAATAATCATCAGACTAATTTAGTAATCACACACCCATAATCCCAGCATCACATACTCTAGATCCAGCCACCTCTGAGACGCCCCACCTATGACAGCCTGAGGCTTGGAGGGACATCTAGACATAAGCCACAACATTCCCTTTTGAGTTCTTAGAAATGCATATAGAAAACCTACTAAGAGTTTGACTACGGAGGAAAAGTAAAAATTTTTTCTTCTTTACGGTAAAAGACGGAGAACATTCTTGCTTTGTGTTCTTCAAAAACTGTAATTCTAGCTCTGAAACAGGAAAAATGACACTGATTGCTAATAATAATCATGCAGGAAAGTAACTAGATGTAAGGACAATACAAAAGAAAGCACATATTTTCAATCTAAAAGATTGAGGAAGTTCTAGATTTTAATGTGCTGAAAATTTTAAATAAAGTCTTGGAATATAGTTTTCTA